CAGCTTGAGTGTAATCTTAAGAATTTTTTATGATTCATCCATTCTTGGAAATTGGTAGGGTGAGTTGTTAGGGAGGATATTTCAGAATGTGACTAACAGAGAATATATAAGTATCAGTTACTTTTTTTTCCTTGAAAAAGACATGATATTTTACATGGGATGAAAAAAGCAGAAAACGAGGACTGTTGGGATAAACCCTGGAGGGAGCTTTCTAGGAAGGTGTGTGTGGAGGGTTCTTTCTCCCCCCCCCCCTTTTTTTTTTTTGGTGTTGAGAATCAAACCTAGGGTGTCAGAAATGCATGCGCTGTCACTGAGCTGTACCCCCAGCCCCATGTTCTTTTAACAGTTAACAAAATGACAGTAATGTCCAGGCTTTCTGTTTCTGTGTAGAAGATATAGAGATAATAAGAATGGGCCTTCCCCTGAAAGAGTTCTGTCGCTTGGAGTAGTAAAGCACATCCAGAAACATAGGAATTTGTATGATCAGTGTAATTTTAAAGTGTGTGCAAGGTGTAGAAGTAGTAGTCGTCAACTCTCCTCCCTTTATTAGCTTTATGAAACATTAATTTTTCGCCACTGTTAATGTTATGGATTCAAGGAGGAAGAAGAGAAATGTATGTACACAGAATAATTTGTACAGCTGAAGGGTGTTTGGGATGTAAGGACAACTACAAGAACTATTTGCCCTAAGCTCCCTTTGCAGTACCCCTTACAAGTCCTTCCTTATTGCTTTACTTGAGCATCTACAAGATACACCTTTATGTCACCCAGACAGCTAAATACCTAAGTGTAGTGATATAGGCTAGTGTCTGACCTACAGCAGTAGAAAGGTATTCAGGGTCCAGAAAAAGAAAGAAAAATCTCCTAAAATGCAAAGTATACTCCACCAGGAACCCTGTCTTATCTATCTTCCTATCTGGGTAGTACATAGTAGATACTCAATATTTCTTGGATTAAATAAGTAAGTTTTAAAAATTTAGGGCCTAGACTCAGTCCTTCTTTCTCTGCCTTCAAACTCTCTGGTGTACTTGTGTATAAAATATTATTCTGCATTTTGGGAGGGGATTAGAAAAACCAAAAAGTTCACTCACAAAGTTATAGGAGAAGAGACTATAAATTACTTGGCATCACAGAAAGTGGCTTGTGTTGGACAGTATAATGCCTGCTGTCTTTCTGTGCAAGAAGGCCATGGTGGCTTGTAGGGCAGATCTAGGTTGATTGGGGTCAGAATAAGCTTCATCCTCAGTAAACAGAAGATACTTTTCTACTGATAAACTGTTACATTAAATATGACTTTAGGTTTTGCTCTGAACTTTGTATTTGTATTTCTTGCTGTGGTTTGTTGCTTTTTCTTTTTTTCTTTCTTTTTCTTTTTTTTTGGAGCATCTACTCTGAAAGAAGGTGTCCTGTGCATTGTAGTAGAATGTTGAACCAAGTGCAGTGGAATCCAGATGTCTTTTTTTTTTTTTCCTGCTAGGAGAGATAAAGCAAGAAAGCTTTAAAGAAGAGATGATGTTTGTTTGGTCTCAGTTTTGAATGATAGGAGTTAAATGGAGTTAAGAATTAGAATAGATGACACTGGAGTTGGGGAGAATAAGATCCAAAGCCAGAAGGTATTCAAGACTTGTGTCCTGAAGGTCTCTGCAGGTGGCTATGCCATGCTACATACACTAAAGAGCTTGGACATTAGATAATCAGAAGTTTTCAAACCACATGCAGAAAACTAGGACTGTTGGGATAATGATTGATAGGATACCATACCTGCACTCTGTCTTTAATCCTAGCATCTCCATGCATAAACAAACACAAAATAAAACATGCTTTTGAAAGTACTGTTATTGGCTATTAAAAGGTTTTATGTTAGAAGATTTATACTTTTTGAATCATAAAATCTTAAAACCTCAACTCTTTGGCAGGGGGATATCGTGTGTTTTTCATGGTGTTACCTGGTTTAATTTGTTTTTTACTAATCATGTCATGCCTTCTAACAATTTATTAGTTCCAGTTTTCACTGTAGTTGATTTCCATAGTTCAGATTTTGAACGATGAAATCTGAATTGTTGCTGGTCAGAGATTGGCTTCCAGAGTCAGATATTTACCTCTAGTCTAGTTGGATATAAGCAGGCCCTGATAGGAGTTGTGATTGTTGTAGTCCCTCAAGACAAAGGAATTAGGCCAATTTCCAGTTCCTCCGTGGGAACCATTCATTCTTTTCTTGTGTACAAGTGTTCAGAAATATTCTCTGTGTACATTGTGTGTATTGATATATATATACATATATATATACATATATGTATATATATACATATATGTATGTATATACATATATACATACACACACACACAAGATATTTTTTTCCCCACAGAAGGAAATTTAAGAGATGGTTACTTTCCTTTGGAGGCACTTTTCTTTTAAACTGCCCCCCCACCACCATTATTCGAGCTTCTAATCACGTACATGTTTTTAAAAACCTAACAGTTGGTATTCGCTGGGAAGTATACTTCTGTATAGGGGGAAAAAGCCAAATAATAAATTCTTTGCAATTGTAAATACATCTCCAGCCTCTGATTTATATCTACCTAATTTGCTCAGCAAGGTGGAAGAGCTTTAAGGTAGCATTTATAATGGAGCAGTTTATATTTTCATAGACTATCACTGTTTTAAGTGACTAAGAACTTGACATTAAATAGACACTGTCAGCGTTGTATGGCTGAACTTCAAGCTCTTAGAAAGTTTCAACTGCTAGCACTAAGAAACTCAAGGTACTCATCCATTTCAGTCCTCCTCTTCTTACCTTATTTTGTTTTGTGAAAGAACCATATTTTAGTCATCTGGGTGCACTGCCCGATTAATTTTTTGACTTCTTGTATTTTCTACACTGTACAAAATGTTGCACAGTATCTTTTACTTAGTGGAAGATTGAGTCTCAAGCTATATGCATGTACTACCCATAAAATCAGTGTGATTCAATAAGTACATGAAGAAGATACTTCATAAAATATACCCATTTTTACAGAACACTGCAGTAGTCTAATATCATCGTGATATTTTGTTCTCCATCATTCTTGGTAGGCTGTCGGTCCGTGGAAAGCATAGGTTTACTCTGCAGTTATGAAGCACCACATTATCGTCTAAGATTGAAACACTAAATAGCGGTGAAGCAGAGATTTTGTAATTTTTAAATAATTTTGAGCTAGTAGCTTTTGTTAAGTATTGTGCAGTACTCAACAAAATACAGTTTTACTTTAAATCATGTATTATGCTATGTATCCTATTCCAACTCTGGCCACTTTATAGTGGAATAAAATAGTGGCTCCTTCACAAGATGCAATTCTATTTCTGTGGAGAACCCAGTGCTTGAATGAAGTGGTGAATAACCATTATGGCTGTAGGTTATGATTCTGTGGTTTTCTTTAACCTCTTCTAAACTAGTTTTCAGTGAAAGCCTGCCATCTTGTGGCTTTTAGAAATATGGGTTTTAGTAAAAAGATCTGAGATTTTAGTTATATTATGATACCAAAATGTGTAAGAAGTCTTTAAGTTGTATTTTCTTACCATTTGGTTGATTTTTTAAAAATTCATTTTCTTTTAACATTACAAGACTATTTTAATTTTTCTATTAACTAAAAAATTTCTTTTTCAAAAGTCAGTAGTAGAAGTAACTTCTACATTAGCAATTTTACTTAAGAACAGTTATTGAAAATTTGATATTAAGACTTATTATATAACTAATGATAGTTACTTGAATGAGAAAAAAAATCTGTCTTTTAAAATAAAATCATTGGACAAACTGTATCCAAATGAACTTGTAATTTATAATGTAGAACCCAATTTAATAATAATAAAAACTAATACTAAAGAAAAAAAATCTCAATTAAAACGTCATTTTGCCTGGCATGGTGGCACATGCCTGTAATCTCAGTTCTCCAGAGGAGGCCGAGACAGGAGGATCTCAAACCCAGCCTCACAGACCCTGTCTCTAAATAAAATACAAAATTGGGCTGGGGATGTAGCTCAAGTGGTTGAGTGTCCCTGAATTCAATCCCTGGCACCAAGGTCAATCAATCCATCCTAATGTTTTTTTCAATATTTTTTTGTCAGCATTATATGGCTGATTGACCTTTATTTATTCACGTATTTATATGTGGTGCTGAGAATTGAACCCAGTGACTCACACATAGGAGGCAAGTGCTCTACCACTGAGCCACAAAACCTAGCCTTCCATCCTCATTTTTTGGTAGTTAACAATATAAAATAATTTTTCTACAAAATATTAGGAAGGCTCTTATTTGTAGTTAGGGAAATTTCAAATCACTTCATATAAGAAGTGGAAGTTGCTTTTAAGCTTTTGGGGTCAGTTAAATTCTAATTAACATTTACACTCACACACACAGTACACGTGTATCTTAATGTTATACCACCAAGCAAAAAACACATAACAAGAGAATTTCTATATAACTGATACATCATTAAGGTATAAAATTGCTTCTTAAAATAACTTACTTCTGACTGGGGGCTGTAGCTGAGTTTTAGAGTACTTGCCTAGCATGCACATGGCCCTGGGTTTGATCCTTAGTAATACCACCACCAATAACAAAACAAAAACCCACAACCAATACTCACAAAAATAACTTTTCATTCTCAGGTAATTAATCTAATTTTATATCTTGCCTGTCTCCTATATATCTTGCGTTTGTGTTGTTGTATTTAAAATAAACTTCTTTTTTCAAAAAAAAAATCTTTTTTTAATGTGTCTCTTCATAGAAAAGGATGAAATGTGTTCTTATTCAGACAACCAACACTAGTAGTAATGTGACAGTGAAGGAGAATATTGTTATCTACCCAAAACTCTAGATCTAACGCCCTGAATTGCTTTTCTAATAGGTTTGGATAGCCCTTATTTAAACCACCTCTTTTATTTTTCCTTTTAGCAGGCAAGGAGAAGGATTCAAAATCAGGGGTATAATTTGATATCTGTGCTTTTTCAAATGTATTACAGTTATGCTAAGAAAGAATCTGATCTGAATGGTGCCCAGATCAAGCTTCGAGAATATGAAGCAGCACTGAACTCTAAAGATGCAGCTCTGGCTACTGCCCTTGGCGACAAAAAAAGTTTAGAGGCAGATTTAGAGGATCTGAAGGATCAGATTGCCCAGGTAAGGTAAACGCTGTGAGCCATGTTTGGAAGGTTAATTACCATGTGTCTTAATCCTTGGTTTGATTGATTTTGTTTTTAATATTTATTTTTTAGTTTTAGGTGGACACGACATCTTTATTTGTATGTGGTGCTGAGGGTCTAACCCAGCGCCACGCGCATGCCAGGCGAGCACACTACGGCTTGAGCCATATCCCCAGCCCTGATTGATTGATTTTTAAAGGCTATATGTTTATTTTGGAATTTTAGTTTTTTGGGGGGTTTTTTTGGATCAGTTACCTGAAGAAAGTTTTTAGGTATTTTAACATGTAAAGCTCCCTGAAGAAAATTTTTAGGTATCTTAACATGTAAAGCTCAATCACCTCTCAGTCATTCTGTGGGGGTTATATAGATCTTGCCATTCTTTCTTGTGTAGATGCTCTCAGAACCTATTTCACGATTGTACTAAGATGTGAGGTGAGGAAAGAAGATGTTGCAATGCTGTTTCTTGCACACAGGAAAATATCAAAGTGGTTAACTAAAAATCATTGGTTTGATTTTAAAAATAGGAGTGATAGGTTTTTGTTCTGTACTCTATTGGCCATTTTAACAGGTGATCTGTTTGGTACCCTGTAAGTGGGATCAGCAAATGAACCCAAAATTCTGTGGTAAAGGTTAAAATATGGTAATTATACCTTTATAAATGTATAGAAATTGTAATATTTGATTCAATTCATATATATTAAATTCATTGCTAAATGATTGCTGTGTAATTTTATCACATTTTTTTTCCCCTTGTAATAGTTGGAAGCCTCTTTATCTGCTGCCAAAAAACAGTTAGCAGATGAAACTTTACTTAAAGTGGATTTGGAGAATCGATGTCAGAGCCTTACTGAGGACTTGGAGTTTCGTAAAAACATGTATGAAGAGGTAATTATATATAATTTTACTTTTAAGAAAAAAAAACATGTAAAAGTACAAATTATTTAAATATGATTTATTTCCCACAAGAAATCTGGGAAATCTAATGATGAAGGGATAAGATTTGGGAATAGGAGAAATTTTGCAGGCAAACTGTTCAAGTTGTTGATGCCAGAAAGACTGCATCTGGGCTGGGCGTATAGCTTGGAGCACTTGGCTAGGGTGCAGAAGGTTCTGGGTTGGATCCCTAGTACCTCTATAATAAAAAAAGAAAACAAAATACTGTATTGAGGAGCATAAGCTGTTAAGATAAACATATGCTGTCACTTCATCTGAGTTATAAAGGCTTGGTCACAGCTGCTAATTACTGTCAACATGTTAAACATTTGCATTAGTTATCTCTTGCTGCTTAAATAGAGTACTCCAAAATTTAACAATCTAAAACCATGGGCTTAAGTGGTGGTTCTGTTGCAGGGTCTCCTGAGGTGCAGTCAAGCTTTCAACCTGGGCTGGAGAAACTGCTTCCTAGGCAGGAGGTATCAGTTCCTTGCCACTTGGTCTCTATAGGGCTACTCATGATTATGCCTTTCCCCAAGAATGAGCCATGAGAGGGAGAGTAGCATGAGACCAAGAGAGAAGCTTCATTATTTCTGTAACCTACTTGCAACAGTGACAAATGTACCATTTTCACACTGATTAATTGTGAGGAAGGGGATTACATTAGGATGTGAATACCAGGAGGCAGCAATCATGGGGACCCATCTTGAAGTCTAGCTACTCACAGCAATTATAGGTACATATGAGAATTTTTAAATAGCATTTATAATCCTTAGCTTCTGTGTCAAGGGTGGGTAGATGCAACATATGCCAAATAGAGGAAGTAGTAAAATTGAAGAAAGGGAATGTATATTTCCTAAAAATTGAAAAAGGTTGGGATTAGTAGTGTCATTTTGAAAATAGTAACTATCAAAGACTTAAAAATAGGAATTCATGGGCTGGGGATGTGGCTGAAGCGGTAGCGTGCTCGCCTGGCATGCGTGCGGCCTGGGTTCGATCCTCAGCACCACATACAAGAACAAAGATGTTGTGTCCGCCGAAAACTAAAAATAAATATTGAAAAAATTCTCTCTCTCTCTCTGTCTCTAAAAAAAAAAAAAAAAATTATTTTTTAGTTTTCGGCAGACACAACATCTTTGTTTGTATGTGGTGCTGAGGATTGAACCCGGGCCGCACGCATGCCAGGCGAGCACGCTACCGTTTGAGCCACATCCCCAGCCCAATTCTGTTTTTCTTAAATGATTTGCTTAGTCTCCATCAATATAGAAAATGGATATTTTGTAAAATATGGTTTTCTATAACCTATTATTACTAGAAATTTTTAGAAAAAAGTAGGATTGTTTCAATTTTATTAGGGGTAAAAGGTTCTCCTTTTTTGTCCTTTATCACTCATTTCATGTTGTAGTAATAAACTCAAGTGTCTGAAGTATTTTTCTTTCAATTTAGAAAAACAATTACTGTTCAGTGTTTAATATAGTATACTGTCTAGTCATCCATGATTACATGGCACTTTAAAAAACTTTAAAAATCATTCAGGAGGTCATTTCATGCTTTTAGAGAATGTTTTGTTCCTGTGAAGACATAAACAGTTCCTACAGCTTGATGTACTACCATATCTGTTATTAATTCCATCTCAAAAATCTCTCACCTGAAAACTAAGGCAGCAAAGTACATCCACATGCCTGTTCCAGGACAGACTTGAGGAAGTTGGTGTGTAAAACTTCACATGGCTCTAATATCCCTCAGATTGTACCATTGCAGCCATGGTAAATGATTTATTTGATTTTTGTCATTTTTTTTTCTACCCTCAGGAAATTAATGAGACAAGAAGAAAGCACGAAACACGCTTGGTAGAGGTGGATTCTGGACGTCAGATCGAGTATGAATACAAGCTGGCTCAAGCCCTTCATGAGATGAGAGAGCAACATGATGCCCAAGTGAGGCTATATAAGGAAGAGCTTGAGCAGACCTACCATGCCAAAGTGAGCATTCTTCAGAGAGTTTGTTTTAAAATCCAAAGTCAGTACTTGACAGTCACCCTAAAGTGACTGTTGTTTGCTTTGTTCTGTTTTTCTTAAATGATTCACTTAGTCTCCATCAATAAAAAATGGGTATTTTTTTAAACTGTGGTTTTCTATAACCTATTATTACTAGAAATTTTTAGAAAAAGGTAGGATTGTTTTAATTTTATTTTTGTCCCATTTATCACTCATTTCCTGTTGTAGTAGTTGAATGCAAGTGTCTGAAATAATTTTTTTTTCAATCTTTATTTTTATGTTGTGGCTGAGGATTGAACCCAGTGTCTCACACATGCTAGGCGAGCAAGCCCTCTACTTCTGAACCACAAACCCAGCCCTGAAATAATTTTCTTCCAACAACAAAGTACTGATCATGCTGCCCTAACATCCATTTAGTAGTAAATGAATGTTGGACGTCTTCTGCTTCTGATTTCCATACCATTATTATACATAGACTGTGACCACTATACTTTGGCCTTTTTTTGTACAAGGCCAAATAGTCTCTGATATTTCTTCCTCTGTCATTATTATTTATATAAAAGGTATTATAGAAATATTGTACTTCTATTAGCCAAAAATAAAAAAAAAAATAACAATCAGGCTTTGCTGGTAAATGATTTTACCTCATGTATTACTGGGGATATAGCTCAGTTGATAGAGTGTGCCTCAAATACACAAGGCCCTGGTTCAACCTCCCAGCACCAAAAGAAAAGAAAAAAGATTTAATTAAAAATAATTATTAGGGGCAAACTTAGAAAATTAGAGAGATAGAGTCTTTGAAAGTAATTTCCATTGCATGACCTACCAACTGTTCATATTGGGTTTTAGTCATTTTATGAAGTAGCATTTGGCTCATGAAAGAGAATAAAATTGTCCAACAGTTACTGAATGCTGGGCACTGTGCTAGACAGAAAAGGAGCTAAATTAAGGATCAATCAATCACACACTGTGTCTTAAAGGGAGCCAGTGAGGAGATGTAGAAACATGTTCCTGAGACACACACATGCATACATGGTAGAATGTTATGGGCATTTGGAGGAATGGGGTATTTACCTGAGGGACTGTCTTTGCTTCTGAAGGAAGCATTTCTATCTGGTGTGAAATAATCTATTCTGTATTGGATTTGGTGGCTTAGGGATATGTGATATTTTCTTACAAACATCATCACCCTTGCTACTACCCACTTTCTTTATTAGCAGTGTTATCCTTGTCATTAAAGGTTTAGTGGATGAAATATTGAAGTACTGAACTTTGGGGGGCGACCAGATACATTAATATTGTTAAATAAAACTCATATTTTAGGAAGTGAATTCAAAAGTCAGACAGACTTAAGGTAATTCAAACCACGTCAGCAAACTTCATGATGCTTTTCCTGTGTTTCATCAGCCAGTTACCAGCAGGACTTAGGTTTAAAATGTCTTTAGGTGAATTATGCTTCCTCATTTGTTAGTTTTAATTTACTTCTTAAGACTGACTGTGACTTGCTGTGTCTTTTAGCTTGAGAATGCCAGACTGTCCTCAGAGATGAATACTTCTACTGTCAACAGTGCCAGGGAAGAACTGATGGAAAGTCGAATGAGAATTGAAAGCCTTTCATCTCAGCTTTCTAATCTACAGAAAGAGGTAAGTATCTTCCTCTGTGTAAGACCACCTCTACAACAGTGGTCTACCTGCTTTGCCTGCCTTCTCTCTGTTTGTCACACATGATGGTGCTATTTTGCACTCAGGTTTTCATAATTTTCTAGATTTTTTTGTTTTGCTTTGCATAAGCATCCGCTAAGGCAGATGCTACTATTCCAAGTTAACATATTACATGAAGCTAAGGAAATTGCTAGTTTCTTCACTGGACCTAGGACCTAGGACTTGGGTTTTCTGCTGTGTTCAATAGCTTCATCTTTACAGGGTGCTATTCTTGGCACATTTCCCTCTTTTTTTGGTCATGATGAGAAACCACAATGAAGCAAACCATGCAAAAGTGGATAGTGAATGCTTTGTGTTTCTAGACACTCTACTTGTGCTTAAAATACTTAATTAGGATCATGGGAAGTAGCATTAATATCTGTATTGGTGGGGCTGGGGATGTGGCTCAAGTGGTAGCGTGCTCGCCTGGCATGGGTGCGGCCTGGGTTTGATCCTCAGCACCACATACAAACAAAGATGTTGTTTCTGCTGAAAACTAAAATGTAAATAAAATATTAAAAAAATATATCTGTATTGTTTAAAAATTTGGTGGCTTCATTCATTCATTCATTGGTACACACTAATAACATGACTCCATTGCTACTTTGACTCGCTGCCTTCCAGTCCATGGTGATGTGCTTCAGGTACAGTTTTAGCAGGTATGGACATGGCTTTAAGTCACTTCAGGATAGGGTAAAGTCAATATGGATCCAGAGGACATAGACAGCTGTGTAAATATACAGCATGATTTGGTGATTTGTTGCTCACTTTAATCACTTGGGAAGTAACTTCTACTTCCATTTTTCTTAAGGGAGGACATCTTGTTCTGATTTTTCTTTTTTTGGTACTGGGGATTGAACTCAGGGACACGTGATCACTGAGCCACATCCCTAGCCCTGTTTTGTATTTTTTATTTAGAGACAGGGTCTCCCTGAGTTGCTTAGCGCCTCGCTTTTTGCTAAGGCTGGCTTTGAACTCATTATCCTCCTGCCTTAGCCTCCTGAGCTGCTGGGATTACCGGCATGCACCACAATGCCTAGCTTATTTTGAATTTTTTACATAGGAATAAACTTGATTGAACTTTTCTTTTTTCGTCATTTTATTTTTAGTATAAATCTTCTGATTATAAAACTGAGCACATTTATTGTGTGAATTCAGAAAACAGAAGATGAGTTACATAAATTAGGTGATGTAAAAAGTTAACATTAGTTTATATTGTCAGAGATACTTTATTACATAATATAAAATTTTGAATTAATTTAGAACTGTATTCTCCTGGTAGTATTTAAGGGTTTTCATTTAACATTGGAGCTAGAAGGACCTTATAGTTCATTTTGGTTCAACCACAGACCTGGGTAACTTAAGTGACATATTTAAAGGCTGTAGGCTAATGTAGGTTTTTTCTTGGAGTCCCAGTTTTCCCTTTATACCTTGCTTAGATTTTCTTTAAAGAACTTAACAATTTATTTTCCATAATCTGACTTATTCTTTCGTATTGCTACAACAAAATATCATGGGCTTCGTAGCTGGCTTATAAATAGCAGAAATTCGTGGGTTTTTTTTTTTTTTTTTTTTTTTTTTTTACAGTTTAGAAGTCTAGGAAGTTCAAGTCACTGCACAGTAGATATCTGTTTGGGGGCTGTTTGCTGATTCTAATGGTGCTGCCTTCTCTGTATATCCTCAAATGAGCCCCTTTGGGCACATTTTGTGAGGGCCACCCTTCCTAATCAGGAGGGCTCTCTTCTCATGATATAATCACCCCATAGGCTTTATTCTTAATACCACTGCTTTGGAGTTTAAGGTTTTAACGTGCGAGGCAGGGTGATGTAAACATTCTTGGGCTGAGTTGATACTGCTTTTTTTCCATATAATTAATTAAGTTCTAGGTATTGTCTTTTCCTCTGTTTTACTTTTCCTTATTTTTTTGCTTCCTTGCTTGTTGGTCGGTTTGGCTACTGCTTAATCCACTTGATGCTATTTGGCAAAATATAATCAGTTTCTTCTTGAGGTGGATATTCATTGTATAGATGAAGAGACTAAGACTTGTCTGTGGTTAAATAGCAGTAGCCATGTCTGAAACTTGGTAGCCAGTTTCAGACCCAGGCTCAGGGTCTTTTGCCTGTTTGCCTGCTAATTGTGTTCCCATCCTTACAAGTTTTTTTTGTTAAATAATGTCAGGGCAACTGCCTGGCAGTTTCTAGGAGCTAACTCAATAGCAAATAGAGAAGCCACACCCCCAGCCCAGCCCTTTTTATTTTGAGACAGGGTCTCCCTAAGTTGCTGAGCCTGGCTTCGAATTTACGATTCTCCTGCAGCAGCCTTCAGAGTTGCTGAAATTACAGCAATGTTCCATGGCATGTTCCATGGCACCCACCTCAAATAAAAAGTTTCTTGAGTCTTTTTTTCTCTTTTATTATGGGTTGTAGATTTTATGATAAAGAACATATTTTGATGAATGTTTCATTATTTGGAAAGTTTATATTTAGGAAAAAAATCATCCAAAAGAAAAAGTGATCTCTTAATATTTTCTCATTGTTTATCTTAATTGTTTTTGTTGTTGAGTCATTACAGTTTCATCATGCTGTCTGTTGGGCCATAGAGTTTCCTTTTGGTTAGTTATATGACTCATGTTAGTAAAGTACTTCTTGAATTTTACTTAAAAAATGAGATAGCCCTTAAAATATTGGTTTTATAAGATATGTAGATGGTAGCACTTATGTTTTAGAATTAGGAATTTTATACATTGTAGTATTGTAGTATTTGTAGTATTTCTAGATTTCAGATTTCAGTGAAATTAATTGGTTATTCAGAGTATGCTTGCCTTGCAGAAGAGTCTACGATGTCATTTCAAAGACCTCTGTTATTTGTTTTTCTGATACCCATGTTCTGCAGACTTTTATTGCAGCTAGACCAATATAAACCAGAATAATTATGTTATACATTATTTTTTCAAAATCTAAGATCACTAGAAGTCAGTCATAAAATTTTATTGTTAAGAAAGAAGATCTTAGAGATTCTAGTTTGATCCCTTCATTTTATGAATGTGGAAATTGATTTAGTGAGCTCTAGTGATTTAGTGAGAGCTTGCCAAGGTCTCACAGGTAGTATACATGGCTGATTGGGAAAGCATCAGGGTCTAATTACTCATACTCTTCCTTATATTTCCTTTACACAAAGTGTATATGTATATTACACAATAAGTGTAGTATTCAGTGTAGAACTTAACTATTTCTATTTAAAATACAAAAAATTCAGAGTAACTTTAAACTTTGTTACACCTAGATTTTGATTTTTACCTCTTTTTTTCATAATTTTAAAAAATATTTTTTTTTGGTAATTGTGTATGGACAGCATGTCTTTATTTTGTTTATTTTTATGCAGTGCTGAGGACCAAATCTAGTACCTCACACATGCTAGGCAAGCGCTATGCCACTAAGCTGTTCCCCTATTCCTGATTTTTACCTCTTAAGGTCAAAGGTAGTCAAGTATAGTGACGTTTGGGGGTTTGCAAATCTGGGCTCACATTACCTCTGAATCTTGAATAGTTTGTTTCTAGCCAGCTATCCTTGGATTTTACCTTGTGGCCCATTCTGTCCTCTGTCTCCCAAAAGAGTGAAGTAAAGTGAAGAGATTGAATATAAGACCATGGGAGGAGGAATGGATTTCTCATTATGTAGCATGGTTTTTGCATATGCAGTTAAATGCAAGTTCTCTAAGGCATAAGGACTCTTTATAATGTATAGTATCAATCTTTTTTTGCTTTTATTGGTGCATTATAGTTATACATCGTAGTTGGATTCATTTCAACATAATCATACATGCATGAAGTTTAATTTCTCCATTTCAGTTCCTGGTGCCTCCTCTTTCCCTGCCCTTCTCCCTCCTCCATTCCCTTTCCTCTATGCTACTGGTTTTCCATTTATGTATTTATGTATGTATGGACGAACGTACGTACATATGTATTTTTTGTTTAGTACCAGGGATTAAACTCAGGGGTGCTTTACTACTGGGCCAGATCCCCAGCACCATTTATTTTTTGAGACAGGGTCTTGCTCAGTTGCTTAGGACCTCCTTAAGTTGCTGAGGCTGGTCTTGAATTTGCTATCCTCCTTCCTCAGCCTCCTAAGTTGCTGGGATTATAGGTATGTGCTGCCATGCCTGGCTTTATCTATTTATTTTTATTTTTTTTCCTTTTATGGGAAAATGTCAACTTTTTATTTTATTAAAATTGTAAACATTTGAAACCAAAAAGAAAAAGGTGATTTTATGAACTCAGTATCAATTTATTTTTAATTGGTACTTTATATGTATAGTATCAATCTTAAAGGAATTCCTGTTTCTAATATAGAATATCAGATGCTACTCGGAATTTTATTAATTTATTGATCAATTATTTTTTCAAATAGTTTTGTTATTTTGGCCTAATTTTAGATCTACAGAAAAGTTAGATTCATAGTACAGATAGTTCTTGTATATCCCTCATCTGGTTTCTCCCATTGTTAGCATCTTATGTTACCATGAAATGTTAAAGCTAAGAAACCGAGAGTAGTGTGTCAATACTGACTAGACTCCAGACTATTTGAATTTCACCAGTTTTTCTATTATTATCCTCTTTGTGTTCCAGGGTACTTCATGCCTCCCTAGTCTCCCTTGGTTTTGATAATGGCTTTTCTTGTTTTTCATGACCTTGAGTCTTGAGGAGGACTGATCAGTTGTCCTATAGACTCTTATCCAGTCTGGGTTTGTCTGGTGCTTTTCACATGATTAGAACCATGTTATGGGTTTTAAGTGTCGGTCTGGTCACATCATATCAGGGACGATGTGATGATAATCACTGGTAATATATGGTTACAGTAGCATTTGCCAGGTTTTTCCATTGTAAAAAGAGTATTATTCACATTTCATACTCTTCTTGGGAAGCAAGTCACTAAGTCCAGCTCACCCTCAAGGGTGAAGGGCAGGAATTCAGCTGTACATCCTGGTGAAACTCTTATTTATCTTCCTCATTTATTTATGTTTGCTTTTATCGGTATAGACTTAATGGGCATTTATTTTATATTTTGGGTTTTAATTTAATAGTACATTATTTCATTGGTTTAGATTGTTCCACATATGGAAATACTGTCAGGTTAACTATTGTGTACTATTCTCTTTGAATACTTCTTACTGTTTGGCACTATAAAATGTTCTAAGGATCACTGTGTATTTTCTCTGCTTCAGCCGTAGAGTTAGTTATTTGTTTCTCCAAAGAGCCATGGTTCTTTTTATTGGGAAAGGTATTTGACATTAAGATCTGGGCTGAGTGTATACTGGGGTGTCACTGTTTCTGTGTCCTCTCATAGACAGGACTAAGGAATGCATCTATGTATGCTAACCCATGTATTCATATATATCTGTAATTGTTTTTCTGTGTAATATATGTATTTTTATTAAGTGAAACATTTATTTTTATTAAGCTAAGATGTATGTCTTGAATCTATTACCACAGGGTTCAGTTTTGAATTTTTCTTTTGCTTATTTGTAACTTTTCTCTCAGAGTGAGAAACCTGGTTTCTGCCATCTATTTGCTTATTTGTTGAGTTCCACTGTGTAAAACTGTTCAAATTTTTCATCTATACCCTTGTAAGGAATGAATTTACCACCAGGAGTGCAGTATTTATTACAGTGTGTGGGTCCCTTTGTCTCTAGCTTTCCAGATTTAATTTTTGCACAGTAGGTGCCCTTTCTTTCCTGCTGATGCAGCCACTTGTGATTCTGAGATCTGAGCATCACATCAAGTTGATTACCCTTGTCAGTTTTTGAAGCCACTGAGATGAATTCTGTCATGGAGAAGTGCAGGAGAATAATTACCCAGTTGAGTTACAGGTTTATAAGATGAACTTCCTGGTATAGGATATGTGATTTTTTTTCGTTTTTGTACCAAATATAAATTTTCTATATTTACAATAATATTTTACAAATTACCCACTATCGTGTTCTCTGTGTGCTAATTAAGCATGAGATATCATAGAAATTTTTTTGTTATATTTATTTATTTTTTATTTGTTCTACGTCGTTGTACACGACAACAGAATGCATTTTCAATTCATCATACAAAATGACGTGCACCATTCATGCAATCATACGTGTACCTAGGGTAATGATATCCATCTCATTCCACCATCTTTCCTACCCTCATAACCCCTCCCCTCCCCATCCTCCCCTTTGCCCAATCCCAAGATCTTCCATTTTTCCCACCCCCACCCCCATCATAGATCAGCATCCACTAAACAGAAAAAACATTTGGCCTTTAGTTTTTTGGGATTGGCTTACTTCATTTAGCAAAATATTTTCTATCTCCATCCATTTACCTGAAAATGCCACAATTTTATTCTCTTTTAATGCTGAGTAATATTCCATTGTATGTGTGGGTGTGTTTGTGGGGGCAGGGTGTGTGTGTGTGTGTATACATGGTATCACAGTTTCTGTATCCATTCATCTATTGATGTTGGTTCCACAGTTGAGCTATTGTGAATTCAGCTGCTGTAAACTTTGATGTGGTTATGTCACTATAGTATGCTGATTTTTAAGTCCTTTGGGTATAAACCAAGGAGTGGGATAGCTGGGTCAAATGGTGGTTTCATTCCAAGTTTTCTGAGGAATCTCTACACTGCTTTCCAAAGTGGTTGCACCAATTTGCCGTCTCACCAGTAATGCAGCATGAGATACCATAGCAATTCTAAGGAGAAAATGTATAGTGCCTTCTATGTCTTTGGTTTCTAAATATTTCTCAGCAATTATCCAAAACATACTTTCACCCATCTTGAGCTTTATTTTGTGAGTGAATTTTTCTTTTTAGTTCTTTAAAGAATTTATACTTTTGAAAAAGGGCCTTCCCTAAGTCAGACTTGAGATTTTACCAAAATTATAGGTTATATTTTTGTTTGATCAAATACAGAGAAATTGTATATATATTTACAAACTTTCATTTGGGGACTGTTTCTGTTTTGTTAGTTAGCCAAACTCTCTTGAGATTTGTTTTACATTTTAGAAACTGGTTTTTAATTTCTAAAAATCAAAATATCTTAAATTCTAAGGAATTAGAGATTACATGGGGCCGTTTGTTTTCCAAGTCCAGGAAATGTTTAAAATAGCTGCCTTGTGCTAATGTTGGAATGTTCCTAGAAAGTAAATGTGTTCCTTTGAATCTGAAGTCTAGAGCATGTTTGGAAAGGATTCAAGAGTTGGAGGACTTGCTTGCTAAAGAAAGAGACAACTCTCGTCGCATGCTGTCTGACAAAGAGAGAGAGATGGCGGAAATAAGGGATCAGATGCAGCAACAGCTGAATGATTATGAGCAACTTCTTGATGTTAAGCTAGCCTTGGACATGGAAATCAGTGCTTACAGGAAACTCCTAGAAGGCGAAGAAGAGCGGTAAGGAATTCAAAGTTCACCCTGCCTTATAGTCTGTTTTCTGTTCCCATTCTTTTTATTTAAGGAAAAGTAAAATGAGGATTAAAAAAAAAAAAAATTAAGGCAACATAACTTTTTTCTTTCTTTTTTAACACCTAGATATAAAAGGTAGTAATAAATCATATTTTTGCTTTGGCAATAGAACATGCTGATTAAGCAGTCTTGGTTTATTATTATTATTGTTACTTTAAATGTTGGACAGTGTCAGAATAGACTATATCCTTTGTGATTTTAAATGTTTTGGTAACTTAATATGTTGTAGAATGTCATGTATGCTAAAAGAAAGCTTGTACTTGTATTTTAGATCTAGTTTTGTGTGTAAATCCTTCTGGTACCTATTCTCAGAAAAGAGTTTAAAAGAAAGTGGCCAATATAGGTTAAAAAAACCAGTCAATTCGATGTTCTATACATTTTTATGACTACAAAAGAATACAGGTATGAAAAGAAAAAGACATACATTTTATATAACATTGGTGGGGGTTAGATGGGATGACTTTTCCAGGCCCATGTTTTCCACGATTCTTGCATTATGGTTACATTACTTTTTTTCTGAGCAAAAACATTGAAATTATTACTTTTTAAACAAAACTGGGCATCCTAGCATAAATAAATGTTATCTTAGTTAAGATGTTTATATAAGCTTTGTCTAACAGATTGTCAGTAATATTTTACTTTAGAAATCAATGTACAGGATATTAATTGTCCTTTTAAAGTTTTTTTTTTTTAATTTTTTATTGTTGGTTATTCAAAACATTACATAGTTCTTGATATATTGTATTTCACCCTTTGATTCAAGTGGGTTATGAGCTCCCATTTTTACCCCATATACAGATTGCAGAATCACATCAGTTACACATCCATTGCTTTTAAAGTTTTTACTAAAGTAACCAAGGAGCTTGTATCTCATGAAGGGAATATTATTTTTTCCTTTTAGATTGAAGCTCTCGCCAAGCCCTTCTTCCCGTGTGACAGTGTCCCGCGCATCCTCAAGTCGCAGTGTGCGCACAACTAGAGGAAAGCGGAAGAGAGTTGATGTGGAAGAATCCGAGGCCAGCAGTAGTGTCAGCATCTCTCATTCAGCTTCAGCCACCGGGAACGTGTGCATCGAAGAGATAGATGTTGATGGGAAATTTATTCGATTGAAGAATACTTCTGAACAGGTAAAAGAATAGACCCATTTCTTTTTTCCTTTTTCTAGCAAGGCTTTGCAGATAGCTGGGCTGTTGTGCAATTGTAACAGCTCTTCATCTTATATTTGGATTCAGTAAGTCTTCATGGAATGCGGTTTCCCTCCTTTTTTTTTTTTTTTTAAGTTCAGGAAATAAAATAAAAATTACAATGGGAGGCTGAGGAATATAGATGGTGCCTTTTGTTGTTTCAAGCGTTTCTTCATTAACCCTTCTTTACAGAGCCAGGACTTTTTTTTCACAGTTGGTCATTTTGTCACAGTGGTCTTCTCAAGGATGAATTATTTCTCTGCCCTAGCCAGATTTGTGAAAATGCAGGAGGAATTGGGGTGAAAATAGTGGATATTCTTTCACAATATTAATGAAACTTTTTGAAAGAAGGAAGTAGGAGCCCAGGCTCAGATATATTAAATGAGTATTTTTCTCTCTAAATAAATGAATGAATGGATGTTAATGACTTAATTTATATAAAAAAAAATAGTATGAATCCCTATTTTGAAGTTTTGTTTAAAAGTGAACATAAATGTTTTTAGCTAGTAGGATTTCTGAAGTTTAGAGCTGAGGCTTTCAGGAATTCAGTAGTCCCTGGCTTGGGCTGTGAAGGTGTGAGCTTATGTCAGAGTCAGTTAAAGTTTGGGGATGCAGTGGGATGGATGCCACTTCCTGAAGCATGTGTTCAGGGTCATCTAAAAGTCTTTGTAAAAATCACTTTTTCTCACTTGAGATATTTAAGATTTCCTGCATGTAGGTAAATAATTTCACTAAGTAGAAGAGCACTTGCAGTTCCAGTACTAAGGCACTAAGGCTTCCTGATTACAACTTTAAAAGCTAAGAGTAAAGTAGCTTCTGTTGCTTTAAAGAAGTCACTCTACTGTTCTTCACAGGCCATAGCAGCCAGGTATGGAGCTGTTTTGGAAGTGACCGTCAGCCTGGTTTATTCTTACTGATGAGTTTGAGATGAATATACATTTCGCTTCTGCTCCTTTTCTAGTTTGTCAGGCAGCAATGTGTAGCTGGGAGCTGGAGTTATAGCTGTCACTTAGGTCTGGTTCATTGAGTCACAGCCTGAGTTCATTGAGCCCCTTGTGTTTGAGTCACATTGAGTTCATTGAGCCCCTTGTGTTTGAAGGTAAAAGAGCCGACTGTGAGTGGAAGCGGCACAGACAAAATAAAATAGATTTTCTTCTTTCTGTTTCTAAGCTGTGTACTTATTTTAAAAATGTAAAGTCATCAAATATTAGATATTTATAATTGCTATTATTATGGCTAAATTGTACTGTGAATTTAAAAGATCCACCTGGTCTAGCAGGGAATATGACCATTTAATTGGTTGGGTTTACACTTTTCTTCCAGGTTTGTCCTCTTTAAAACCTTCATAGTTAACTACTGTAGCGTCTTTGAAGTTACTGTTGTTGAATGACAAAACTCAATTTCTTTTTGCAATAGGAAAATATGAATCAGAGAAAGACAGCCACAGGGCTGCCTTAGTTTAAAAACCTGTCGATTCATGTATTTGATTATTATGTAACTTTCTGTATATTTGAAATAACCTTGTTATGTTTTGTACTGCGAATAGGATCAACCAATGGGAGGCTGGGAGATGATCAGGAAAATTGGAGACACTTCGGTCAGTTATAAATATACCTCAAGATATGTGCTGAAGGCAGGCCAGACTGTTACAGTAAGTGAATTTAGTCATCATTTAGTTTAACTTCGTTGTCTTACTAGAAAAAGTAGTTCAAAAAATTTGTGGCCTAAACAGAAGTGTTTTAGAAGTGGGCTTTAAAACAGCTTTGAACAGGGAGTTGGGTTGTAGTTCAGTGGTAGAGCACTTGCCTCACATGTGTGAGGCACTGGGTCCAATCCTCAGCGCCACATAAAAATAAATAAATAAATAAATAAAATATTGTGTCCATCTAAACTAAAAAAATATTTTAAGCAGCTTTGACATTATTAGGGCTTTACAAGTGTTAATTAAAGATATTTAAAATTCTGTCTACTGAAAGTGATGAAAAAATTGACCTTTGAATTCTTTTCTCTTGTCTCTTCCAGTAGATATAAAATAGCTGTTTCTCCATGGATACTTACAGCCTTGTGTAATTTAGGAGATATTGTTTGGCCCAGATGGTTGGGAAGTTAAAACAGTAATTGCCTAAAACAGCAATCACCTAAATCACCTTGGACAAGCTTCAGTGTCATCTGAGTAGTATTTTGGTGTCCAGGCTCCACCTAAACCTTAGCTATTCCTGGGGTCCGGGTATGGACTTGTATTTTGAAAAGTACTTCTGTGTTAGACACTCTTGTACAGAATCACTTTGTCATTTTGTTTTTGCATAGTATTAGTGTTTCTAGATTTAGAGTGATATGCTAGTTGATATTCTGACTCTCTTGGTGTGTTCTAATATACTACATCTTTATTGCTCAAATACTATTAGCTCACTTTTTAAAGAAGTGTACATCTTTTGGGTAAACACAGAAGAATCCTTTCCTTTGACTTAGTAAGTAGATTTAACAAACAATAAAATATACTAACTTTGATACAGCAGCCAGAGAGGCACTATTTTCATCCCTAAATAGTGTAAAGGAGTCCCTTTAAAAAATATTTTTTATTTTGTTATTTTATTTATTTATATGTGGTGTTGAGAATTGAACCCAATGCCTCACACATGCTAGGCAAGCACTCTACCACTGAGCTCAGGATCTTTTTTTTTTAAATGGAATTCTCTTTTAAAAAGTTTTAAACAGGGCTGGGGATGTGGCTCAAGCGGTAGCGCGCTCGCCTGGCATGCGTGCGGCCCGGGTTCGATCCTCAGCACCACATACAAAGATGTTGTGTCCGCTGAAAACTAAAAAATAGATATTAAAAGATTCTCTCTCTCTCTCTCTCCTCTCTCCTCTCTCCCTTTAAGAAAAAAAGTTTTAAACATTTGTTTTAAATAACGTTTATATTTTTGATTTATGCAGACCTTAGTGTTGTAGGTCAAAGCCTTAAAATACAGGTTAAAACTGCCCAAAAGATGCCACTTTGAAAATATCAGGTGCTAATTTTGTAATTATGGGTAAAAATCTGAACAAATATTCTAACTATATGATCTTTTCTTATCTTTATTATATTGAGAAAATTGCTCAGTCCTAGGAAAGCTACATAATGTGGTGAAAATAATCTGACAGTTTAATTTAAAGAATTCAGATTTGAATGTTCTCTTCTCTCTAAAATAATATGAAGCTGTTATTCCAATCATTCCCCCCCACCCCCCACTGGGCATACTATCTGATGGACTAACTAGGTAGATCTTATGGGTCTCATGGAGGACTCATTTATCATATCAAGTAATGTACTTTTTTTTTTTTTCCTTCAGTAGCTCCCAAAAAATGAGATAAGAAGCTTTTGGTGACACAGTAGTAATAGGTGATATTTCTATAAAATTGTGCAAGTCTAAAGCAAAGATCAGTTTAAAATTCTAGAATAGAAGCAGGAGAAACCTATGTATAATATCAAATTTTCTTGTAGCCATATTTTTAAAAGTAAATTAATTAGAACTGTTTATTTAACCCAGTATTTCTAAAATACTATTATTTTAATGTGTAATCAATACACATAAAAATTACTGGTAAGGTATGTTACTTTCTTTTTTCTAACTAAAAAAGTTTTTGATGTGTATTTTATTCTTACGGCACATTTCAATTTGTCTAGCCACCTTTCATATACTCAGAAACCCATGTATGGCTACCATATTGTTCTAGGACATACTAGTCTTAGGTTATTACCAACCAGATCACTGAGGTCTTATGATAACTATCGTCATTATTAACACGAAAGCAGCTATGTAATTCTGTATACATTAGTGAAAAGTATTGGAAGAAGTTAGGAAAACACATCTGTATAATCTGAGAGATGGGTCCAAACCAGTTTTTTCATCCCAGTAAATGTTCCTTTGAATGCTAATAGATGCTCTGGAAACTTCAAGTGAGCATCTAAAAGGTAAAGGCTTTTTCCTAATTAGTAATTCATAGATTTTTCTCCCCATAATTAAATATACCTGCCTTTGCCATCTCCAGCTTTCCTCTTGTAATTATAAAGTCTTTTTATGTTATGACAATTTATATATTTAAAATTTTTCTACTTATTTTCATGTGATCTTTATAAAAGATCAGATCTGGTCATATCCCTGTGGCTGAGGACATTGGGGCTGATTGAAATGTAGTGATTTGTCTAGTATTCAAGTCTAGGTTTTCTGACTGCCAAGTTTTCTTCACTCTTCCTATACTTTCCTGCCAACAAATACTTAAAAAGGGGGGTGGGGTGGGATTTTATGCTGATGAGAAGGGAAATATATATTTTTTTTCTTTGTCTATTTCAATAACAGTTATATTTTCCCTTGAACACTAGGGTGATTTATCAATTTTCTGCATTCTTTTTGGAATTCAATCTTCAGATAGTCTGGGGTATTATTATACTGTCTCTGTTTGAGATATATCAGTTTTTATATGAGTATTGTAGATGAGCTGTATGCTACAGAAGGTCTTCTTAATTCCTACTGTTGACAACTGGAGGACACTATAGGAGGGGGTCAGAAGGCTCTCAATGTAAGGATGGCTCATAAACCTGTGGAATAGTAGAATGCTAAGGCTGCTGTTATTAGTGAGCCAGGATCTGTATATGGGTAATCGCTTCCTCTTCATAATAGTCTCACCTATTATAGGTACCATTTATGCCCCATTTTATGGATTTTGTGGTGTGTAGAGTAGGATGGGAATGTTTGGCAGCCTCACTTCACAGACCAGTGAATCAACAAGATCATTTATCATGGAGAGGCTGAGGCCTTTAGAAACTCTGCAAGTTCTGGATACACAAGTAGTTAATATAGCAACTTGGAAGCTGGGGCAGGGTTCTCAGACTTTTAGAAGTAGGAGTTTGTTGCTGTCATTGACATGTGAGAGAGCTGGGGTTCTTCATGTATTTTGATATCTTTTGTCTTCCAGATTTGGGCTGCAAATGCCGGTGTCACAGCCAGTCCTCCCACTGACCTCATCTGGAAGAACCAGAATTCTTGGGGCACTGGTGAAGATGTGAAGGTTATATTGAAAAATTCTCAGGGAGAGGTATGGCCTATACTGCTATAATGTTGGATTTCACCAGAAAGTTTATTGTATGATTCCTTCTCAGAAGTCAGATTGCAAAGTGAAGTTACTGTTGCTTAAATGATACCAGGGCTGCTAAGTAAATCAAAATTACAGATTTTAGAAATAAAATGAGTACATCATAGAGTACCAATTATTATTAGTACATGCTCCAATTGTGTTCCATTTCTGTTGGTCTCTACTGCACAATTGTGTCCCATTTCTGTTGGACTCTGCTGCACATTGGCTTTGTGACATTGAGCAAGTTACCTCACTTCTGAGTTTTCTCACTTTAAAATAGATAATTAATGTGACAGTATAAATGAGATGTTAGTATGAACCAGACAACCTTCAAAAGTGCTTGGAACACTATCTGGCAAGGTACATTCAACTAGTAAGTACTTGATTAACTTTTTTAGTGGCTCTCAGAGTGCTCATGAAACAGTTTGAAGACTGAGAGGTGTACCTGTGATATGCTTTCAGTTCGTCAGTCCTAGAATTCTTATGGAAGAACCTTATCTCCCCACACTGCCTTGTAAACACACACCCCCCCACACACACCCACACACACACACACCCTACTGATGTTACTCTTAGAAATGCTTCTTTATAATAAAGCAGCTGTTGGAGCTGGTAAAGAAAGGCTTCATCCCTGTCTCTACCCAGCTCCCAAGTAGAGGGGACAACAAGAAAGAGTTTGAGGTCGCCATTGTTACCGCCAGAGACTAATGAGGAAGGTGGTACTCAGTCAGCAGGGGCAGATTGTGTAGGTTCTGGTGAGAGATGTAGATCTCACTCTCAGTGCAAGTAGAGGCTTTTTGGAGGGCTTTTAGAATGACATGGTAAGATAAATAAGGAGAAGAAGGAAAATTTGCTGCTGCGCAAGTTGTTAGGAAATCAAAGAGGAAGAAACTGAACAACTAGTGTTATGAGGTTTCAAATTGAAATGTCTAAGGATATATTTTATAAATAAAGTAAGAAAGTAGGATAGGATTTTGATTTGTTGTTGCAGGACTAAAGAAGATTGGTCACTTCCAGTCTCTCAGCCAGAAACTTTTCTGTGCAATCTATCTTAACCTAATTAATAATAATAATAAAGCACATGATTCCTTAGATCCATTATGATTCTTTGAAAGAAGGAGAGATAGAAGCATATAAAACAGAAAAAAGAAAAAAAAAAAAGGTTCTCAAAAAGTTTTCTGAGTACCCATCTTTCCTCAACTCATTTGTCGGTGAGAAAAGAAAGGGGAAGAAAACCCAGTTGCAGACCTGCACACTCAGCTCCCACAGCACGTAGATCCCACATGTAGCACTGGCTCAAAAGGCTCATGATGCATCTCAAGACTATTAACCCCAACAAGAATCTTAGGAAACAGCAACCTGCTCAACATCATTAATTATAAATTACTTCAACACTACTATTTTTAATGTAAGCCTTCTGTTAAGTACTTTTCATTTGATAACATTTAAAAACCAATTAATCCAATGCAGAGCATCAATATGGAATATGAGTGAACTAAACAATCTCTAAAAATCTAGATAGAAAAATAATCAAACAAATAACAATTTAGAACCAAAATGTTGTCGGGAGGTTTAGATACAGGAAATTGTTGTTAGTCAAGATGGTAATGGTTACACCCCAAAAACACGCCCTCAGCAAGGTGCCCAACCCTTATCAAGTAACCTGGACAGACACATAAGCAGTCTTACATGTCTGATTTTACTCCCCTTATAAAATGTATTGCTGGCCTGCATCTGCTCAGCACAGCACACTAATATGTCCAGAGATGCACTGATGTCAGCAGGCAGCAGCTAGCTGTGCTCACCTCCTCACATCTGTGAATTCATTAGAAGCCTGAAAATCAGCCACAGTGAAAGTGTAGGTGAAGAGTTAATTGTCTGTTATCTATTACTTTTCCATGTACATAAATAATCATTTGCATACACAAATTTCAGTCATATCTCTATTGTGGAAGGCACGGGGATTTGCTTTTTTTTTTTTTTTTAAATTTCCCTTATAGAAAACCATCTGATTTTACTGTGGTGACATTCACTGTTTTTAATCACCTGGCACCCCTCCCTCTGTCCAGATAAGAGCCCCCAATTTTATCTGGATGCCCGTCTCCTGTCAAGGAGCACATGTGTCACAAGGAGCCAAGTATTAACTAGTCATAGAAGAGGGAAGAAGGCTCAAGCTCCAACTCCTCCTCCTGTTTAAAAGGAGCATGTAACCCAGATTGGGTCAGTAAGAGGAAAGCCCAGGATGGGAACCTCACAGGAGATGCTCATTCCCACAGAAAGAATGAGCCAGGTATGATAGTACACGCCTGTAATCCCAGAGACTTGAGAGGCTGAGGCAGGAGGACTGCCAAGTTCAAGGCAAGTTTGAGCAATAGCAAGATCCTGTCTCAAAATAAAATATAAGAAGGGCTGGGGTATAGCTCAGTTGTACAGTACCCTGGGTTTAATCCCTAGAACCTCTGAGAGCTGCTGACTGTTATCCTGCATCCTCAAGGTAGGCAATCCAAGGAGAAACAACACAAATCCTTGGGGCACTATGTGAGTCACTAGATCAAGTCCACTATCTCCATCTTTTATTAGGTAAGGCCAAAAATTTCCCATTATTTTAAAGCCAGTTTAACTTGGTTTTCTGATACTACTAATGCCCCAAAACAAGGAAAAAAAATAAACAAACCAATCACCTGTAATCTTATAAAAATGTGGTCTTGTACCTACTAATAAATGTGGTCCTACAGAATTAAATGAATAAATACCAAATGTGTATCTAATGATCACAGAAATAAAAACTATTCACAGTTCTCTCCTCATTTGTGACAGAAATCACTTAATACAGAGCCTAACAAGCAGAAAGTAGTAGACATTTGTTAAAAGAATGAACAAACAAAGCAAATAATACTCAGTGTTTACATTAGGAAGGGAAGCCTAAGTTTGGTTAGCTGTATAGAAATATCATCAATAATACTGTGTTCAAGACATAGTCCATCATGATAACTGCTACTGCACTACAAGTATCCTCCCATATGTCTGTTTCTAACTTGGAACACATTACACATAGGAAAAAAAAAATGGTAGAGATGATGAAGAGATTCCATGGTTCACAAAAGCCTATTCAATCTCCAGGTATGTCTATAAACAGTGCTTTTGGATCTGAGCAAATCATCGCTCTTAACTATGTTTTGAGAGACACATAGTTCAGATGTTCAGGTTGTCCTGTGCTTAAACAGAAACACTGCTGCTTGTGTCCAAGTCAGCATTCTTTACAGGAAAATGATCTGTGTTTGAACAGAAATAGTTGGGAATAGTTGCTTTCTTTTATACCTGTAGCGAAGGATAGATCTATTTCTGTACTATTCTAATTGGGACCTCACTAGTATGTTATTAGTAATTAGTGCTTATTCTTGATTCAGTTTCCTTCAAGAAGAGCCACTTGCTGAAGGGATGAAAAAGGAGCTTGTCCTTTTCATCTCACTACTCGGGTGGTTGTTTTGCTACCATGGTCCCTGAGATCACAACAGTTGGCACCTAGCTTCATTTTATTCAGCATTTATTTAGCATCATCTCTTTGCTAGGAGTTAAGATCTTGAAGCTGAATTTTTGTTGAGTTCTTTAAAGAATTTAGTGTGCCAAATAATTTGCACAGAATTCTTAGTAACAAAATGGGATAAAAAGCATTGGAAACTTCTCAGCAGGTATTTTAAATTGGATACCAGTAGGTCCCCTGAAGGGAAAATTTAAGGTCTAAGAACTGCTATTAATTGTGTAAAAATTCTAGTTCAGTAGCTAACCTCCTAATAGAGTGGTTTTTTTTTTTTTTTTTTTTTTTTTTTGGTTTTTTTTAAAATAAACCTTGATATGGGAATGCTGTTTTTAAGCAAAAAAAAAAAAAGGTGGGGAGGGTTCCTCTTCCCCTGCATCTTTGTGATTAAACTGTCTTGTTTTTAGGAGGTTGCACAAAGAAGTACAGTCTTTAAAACAACCATACCTGAAGAGGAAGAGGAGGAGGAAGAACCAACTGGAGTAGTTGTTGAGGAAGAAATTTTCCACCAGAAGGTATTACTGTAATTTTACATTTAATTTTCATTAATAGAATTACATGAAAGTCTGTTGTGGGTTGCCCCCATTGATAAACCAGAGCAGTGATCTACCAAGTGGGGGTTATACCTCCCGAACTGATGAAAATTCAAGTACTTTAGGTCACCGGTAGAAAATATATTAGCACACTTTTGTTTTTTTCCCTCATTTTCAAATTTTCATCTTGTTTTCTACATATATGATAGGGCATATAAATTACTTATAAATGTATATGTATAAATGGATTGGAGTGCTTGACCTGAAACTTAGGTACTATTGGGTTCTGTGATTGAAAAGTTGAGGTCACTAAATTAGAGCAAGGATCTGCATATAAACTGAAAAAAGAGTAATATTCAGCTTCAGTGTGAAACAAAATTCCTGCTATATTAAGTTTCTAATTATCTAATTGCAAGATAGATTTTGGCTGATGCTAGGGTTTTTGAGAGCCCTTGAAATAAAGAAACTCCAGATTTGGTTTTAATTAATTAAATTGGAATTATTAATAATGAGATTTCAGTTTATATTCTCAAGCTGTTTGAGTCTAAGTTCCTACCCTGAAACTAAGTCTTATCCTGGTAAGACTTCATCTCTGTGTCTCCAAATTTATAATCTAGGTTTGCTTAGTTTCTTTAGCCCAGTCCTACTCTATAAACAAACATTCTCTAATGTGTTTAGTCCCTAAGGTTGGGAACCACTTCAAGTGGGTTATATGAGATAGAATGATTCTTTTTTCCCTAGATTTAAAATGAAGTTTATTCACATGAACTGGTCTGTATAACTGAAGGATCTTAAGGATCATGTTCTCACTTCCTGTTTTCTTTTTTTTTTAATTCTAATTCATTATGTATGACAGCAGAATGCATTACAAAGATTGATTTTTTTTTTTTTTTTAAACCTGGATGCCTTCTTCTATATTTTGGAGCAGTATTTAAGAACAGATGCTTTATAACTTGGCTTTATTAAGGAAACAAACACAAAATCATAATGACTAGACGTAAAATAACATTGTGAGGTGTTTCCAAGTTCCAGCCCAGTGGTCTACATAGGTAGCAGATCAAATACTGAAGAAGGCTCTCTAGGCCACCAGTGTAGTTGAGAACAACACTGGAAAATGGTACTTGTTTGGTATTTTGAAGGATGGAGGGATAATTGTTATAGGAAGAGACAGATGATGGTGTTTTGAGGGTGTTTTTGAACTGTCTGCTGCTACTTATTAACAGACCACCCTAAACTTAGTGATTTAAAAACATTGGTTTCTAATTTCCCATCGTTCTGCTGTGGTTTGACTGGGCTCAGCTGGTAATTCTTCTCTAGGTGGTGGAAGATGAGTATTAATCATCTAGTTGTGTACAGATGGAAGCTTGTGTGGGGTTAGAATATCCTCTGGGGCTCTTTCTGAATGTCTTCTCACGATGCAGTAGTTTGGCCTAAGTTGTTTGAAGTATAGAAGCTGGTTAAGAGGGTGAAAGTGGAGACCACCAGGTGTAGGCCCTGAGCTGGTACAGCTCCCTTCTATCATTCCCTCAAAGTGAACCATAAAACCAGCTGAGATTCATGGGAGGGGTAAATAGTTTCCTCTTATGGGAGGAGCAGCAAAGGCTTTATTGTGATCTTTAATTCATACAGGGAATGTTTTAAAATATATTCACCAAATGTTTCTGTCTATCCAGTTGTATTTTGGGCTTTGTGTATGAGAGAATGTTAGTTGAAATGAAGTTGAAAGGTTGGTGTAAAATTGACATTGTGTGGAATGCTCGGGCATGTAACTTCTGCATAGTTTAGAGCAAAGGAGAAATTGAGACCTATAGTTTAGAATATCACTGGGCAAACAATCAGATACTGACTCTACGAAGGAGATACCACAGACACTCAGGTAGTATGTAAATAGTGATGCATTAAGGTGAAAGAAAAAGTCAAAGATGTGTAACCTTTTTTGTTTGTATGATTATAGAAAATAATGTCAGCAGAACAGCTCTTTTGACTGCACATTGGAGGGTGAATCCAAAAGCCTTTTGAATTTTTGAATTGACTAGAAGGGTTTTGGTGGATTTTTTTTTTTTTTTTTTTGTACAAGAGATTGAACTCAGGGGCACTCAATCACTATTTTGTATTTTTATTTAGAGCAAGGTCTCACTTGAGTTGCTTAGCACCTTGCTTTTGCTGAGGCTGGCTTTGAACTCCCAATCCTCCTGTATCAGCACCTGGAGCTGCTGGGGTTATAGGTTTGCGCCAACTGCGCCCAGGTTTTGGTGACCTTTTAAGAAACCAGTTTTAGTCTAGTCAGTAAGTTTTATTGTGAGGCTGTGAGGAATTAGCAGGTCACAAAGAAATGGATAGGGAAGCCTTTTTGACTTCACTTTTGAGAACAAATCCAGTGTAAATGTTTTGAAATACCGAAGTTCCTGTGAAGCATATCATGCACTGATCTCATTTGCTCATTTTTCAAGGGAGATTATTGTATAGTGATTTTTCAACTTTTAGTTGAATATTAGAATTAATTTACAGCTATATATAGATACCCTTCCTCAGTTAAGTGAGAAATTCTTGTTTAATTGTTCTGAGACTCAAAATCAGTTTTTTGTTTTGTTTTTTGAACTTCTGTGCAACCAGAGTTGGGAATTGCTGTTTTGTAATCTTTTGGCGTATTCTAGAAAAGTTGTTCTTAAGAGAAGGTTATAAAGGTAAGTGAGAAGTGATAAAGGGTCCATTTGAAGTTAGGTAATACAGATTCCTGTAGTTTAAGATTTTTTCTTATTTTAGAATACTGTAATTTGTTTTCTTAGTACTACTTTTTTCTTCTGTTTTTCTTATCAGGGATCCCCAAGATCATCCAATAAAAGCTGTGCAATTATGTGAACTTCTCAAGTCAACTGTCTTCCTCAAGATAAAGAAGTATGGTAATCCTTACCTATATACAGTGCAGAGCCTTCTCAGAAGCACAGAATATTTTTATATTTCCTTTATGTGAATTTTTAAGCTGCGAATCTGATGGCCTTAATTTCCTTTTTGACACTGAAAGTTTTGTAAAAGAAATCATATCCATACATTTTGTTGCAAGATGTGAATTATTGACACTGTACTAACTGTGTACTGTTTGGTAAGGGTCCCTAAAATTTTTGGACTTTTTTTTTTAAAAAACAAAAACCGTTTGTGTGTGTGTGTGTTTCTTTCTTTTTTCTTTTAAAGTTCTTATGAGAAGGGGAGGGGAGGTTAAATAAACCACTGTGTGTCTGGGCATAATTTGAAGATTGCTCCATCTAGATTAGCAATCTGCTCTTGATTATTTTCTGCTATAAATAACGGTGCTGTGAGGGAGGGGGAAAGCATTTTTCAATATATGAACTTTTGTACTGAATTTTTTTGTAATAAGCAATCAAGGTTACAATTTTTTTAAAAAACGGAAAAGAGAAATTTTGTAAGAAGGCAATATTAACATGATCATCATGTAAGCACTCTGGATGAAGGATTCCACAAAACTTTGTTTTATGGTCACTTCTCTTAGATTCTTAATTTCTAAAGGGAATCGGGATGGGGCGGTGGGCTGGGGGGCAGGGCTTCTCTGTTATAATGAATTAGTTGTGTTTTTTAAGATAGTGTAACATGCTTAAATTTCTTATGTGACATTAACAAATAAAAGAAAAGCTGTTTTAATATTAATCTACTGTCCTTATTAACCCTTTAAAAACAGATTTTGAGAAGAGAAGAATGTTCCAGCTTTGCTTTTGTTAAAAAATAGTTTAGTTTATTTGAACTGAACTTTTCTTCTCTTTAAGGCTTTGACAGTTGAGAAAGATACACACAAGTGAGCTATTTTGAGGTCTTCCCCCTTTATAGTACTCTGTTGACGATTATAAAAACAGTAATAACAATGATAGCTAATGTTTCTGAGCTAGACATAGTCAGTGCTTTGTTACGTTTTTTTACTTTATCAACAATAGGCTTTTCAATTTTTCTTTACAAAAATCAAATAGTGACAGTGGGAGAAGAAAATTCCTATTAAAATAAAAATTTAAAAAAGCCTTAGAATCAAGTTTTTACTGTCCTTTAAAATAGGAAAGAAAGAAATTAGTTTTAGAGGATTAACTAACTGCAAATGATAATGAAATACAAGTGTGCTGTGAGAGGTGGTTTTGTGTGGTGATGATTAGGGTGTCATTCATTGTGAGTTTGGATTTTTTTTTTTTTTTGTCTTGATTGCTGTAGCAAGTGAGTTCATCTTGTGGGAAGCAGAATGTCTGGAACCTCTCTAGAATGCACAGATGATATTTCAGAAGCCAACCCAGAGCCAGTGTTTGCTTTCCTCTTAAAATATTCCTGCAGTAAGCTCTGCAAAGACTACCAGCTTTCACTTGAAAATAACTCACAAAGCCCCAAATTACAGTGCTCCACAGATTTACTGCATACTTTGGTGCTGTCGCAGACACAAGATAAATGCTGGGTTAGAAATTCTGTCTGGTGAAGCAGATAAAATGATAACTTCTCAACACAGATTTATCTTCTGAATGAGAATGGTACATGGCCAAACTTGACTGTGAAACATTTTGCCACAAGATGGGGTTCTTGTCATCAAAATATATTCTAGGTGTTTTAATGCTGGGGAAATTTGGTTTTAAAAATAAACACATTAATTAGGCATGAAAAGGAATTGACAGTTTATTGCAGTTGCATAGGTTGTACTCCAGTGAACTTTAGGTTAAAAACCCAGAACTCTTTTAACATAAGTAGTTTGGTGCTCCTGGTGTGTGGCAGTGGATTGTTGAGTCTATGTGGACTGACAAACTCTGAACTAATTGAGGTTTTCTGAAATTGATAAATTGAGCTGCACCTAAAGCCTTTTCCACAGAACATGGAAAGCTAGAGAGCCGGAGGACATGTGGCCTGGACATGAGGCCTCTCTATCCTAAACTTATATCTCTACATCAGTGGTGGTTAGATAGACAGTGGAGATAAAAACATAGTTAGGTATTTAACTCTTATAACAAGCATGAGTTCATTCTGTTCCCTTGATTTGTCTTCTGTATTCCAGTTTCAGCACTGTTTAGATAGATCTTATTTTTAAGCCTTGTATTCAGGTCTCATCTCTATTCTTCACTAAAAAAATCCTGGATATTCTTATTGAATATTTTTTCACTCTTGTTCTCAACAGTTCCTCCCATCTTTTTAGACTTATATTGAACCCATCCTCTTTTGTTAATTCTAGATTTCTTTGTGCTATATTCTTAGTAACTCCTTTGTATTGATTTCACTGATTCTGTTTACGAACCTGTTCTAACTCATCCTTTGACCAGGCCACTGAAGTTATCTTGGTTCCCTATTTTTCTTATTATTCATTCATCATTTATCTATGTATCTATCTATCTATTTATTTTTAGTTGTCGATAGACCTTTATTTATTTATACGTGGTGCTGTGAATCAAACCCAGAGCCTCTTATATTTATTTTACAATCTCAGTAATTCTGTTTTCTTGAGTTTTTAGAGGCTAATTTTACTGTTCTCTGCATCTGGCCACCACTCCCTTTTGGTGGTGCCCTTCCTTGTGGGGTTTTTAGGATTGTGGACACACCTAAAGCAAGGGCTGGGTGTTTCATGATCAATCCATGTCCCCAGGGTTTTATGTGACCCATGGTATATGACTGTAGAGGAATTGGAGGGTTTCTTGTGTCAGAGTCCTGGTAATTGTTATGATGTGGACCATATTTGTTGTTGTTTTCTCACTTCATGTTAGGGTAAATCTACTTGGGTACTTGTGCATGTATGTTCTCTGCTTTTCACAGGTCACTTCTACACGTTGCCCCAAACCCCAGCAGTGCTTGGCCTTTGCTTCAGGCTGGTTGGCATCGTTCTGGTCGCGTGAGGGTGAGGGAGCTTGACCAGGTTCTCTGACTTGTGCAGTCTTACCCTGTTCTCGGTTCTCTCTTTGCCAGAGCCCAAGGCCATGCTTTGCAGCCCCATCCCTTAGCTCCTAAGGCTTATATTTCAAATTTGGAGTTCTTTTTTTATGGCACCTGGATATTTCTAATTGTTTTTAAGCTTGGTTGGTTCTTTATTCAAGCAAACATCTTAGTACTATTTTCTGAGTCCTACAGTGGAAGGAAAGGATTGTCCATGTCAGTGTAGTCTGTCATGTATATCTCTTTTTGATTTCAGTTTCTTACTCGTCACCCTTTTCATCACATCTTAAATTACAAAGAAGTTTATTTGAATACCCCTTCCTTTCCTGGCTAAAATACATTTTAAAGAGAAATTGAAGGTTTTTTAATCTGTATCTTCTGGATCACTGGTATAAATACCAGTATGGTTATGAAGTTTAGGAGGTACCACCAGAGGGGCATGTTTCCTAGGAGTCCAACTTTTGAGTCCTTGAAGCAAGGGTGATATTTACACGACAAAATCCAGAATTTTGAAATTGGGACTCTCACTGCTTACCAAAACAAGGTAGAATCTAGAATTTCATTGGGTGTTTTTTTTTTCCCCTGCTTTCTTGAAGTGACATTCAGAGCCAAATTGATGAGAATGAGGAAAATATTTAGGCAAAATAAACGCAGAATTCACACAAGTCATATTTTGAGTCAGGGACAGAGGCTTCACATTAATAAGCATTGAAATATGGAAAGAATAGTTAATGAATGGGGTATGTTTCTGGGAGTGGATGCTGCTTGGCTGTTTTGGAGGGTCAGAATGAGGGCAGAGAACAGTCATAGACTGGACCAGCAGCCAGTTTGCCTGGGAGACATGTACTGGGCCCAGAGTGTGAAATCTCACTTCCTACCTCCTACTGATCACTTCCACAGTAATCCTTTTTTGTTCACTTTTAACAGCACAGTAAATCCTTCCTCTGGTGACATTTCTCTAGAGACAAAATGCACCTCTCAGTCTAAGGAGACAGCCTGTCCAGTAGTTTAATTAGTTTATAACAATAAAACATGTATTCTCCCAGATTTATTATGTGAGTGCTTCCTCCAGCAGTCTGAATTGGAATTCTAGGTTTAAATGCCAGCCAAGTTTGCTCTTAGAGAATGCAGATCTTGTTCCATTTCAGTGGTTTTTATACCTACTGTGGCTCTGTATTATTTGAAATGAGCTGCAGGCAAGATCCTAAAGATTCATCTGCATTTTTATGTCATTTTCTTAAATATTGGAGTAGTTGTTTTTTTTTTTTTTTTTTTAACAGTCCTCACTTTTTAAGCTTTATTTCACTAGCACTTGCTCATAGCTGGTGGCCCTAACTCTCTTGCCACCTCCCTCCTTGGGTCTGTCTGTGGGGCCAGCCTTATGGGACAATTGCAGTAGAGTAGAGGTATCTTTGCAAGGGCTTGGTTTTCCTCAGTGTTCTGTGACTCACTCTGAATAAGTACTGTTCCATTCACTTGCCTGTTTTCACAGTCCCCTTATGGTCCTGAGTCCCATGACATACGTTTCGTCACAAGGGCTGGCCAGTGTCTGCTGTGAACACATAGAGGGGGACACAGATGTCTCCCTCTGCAGACTGCATGTCACCTCTGACAGAACTGGCTTTCTAGCTTGGCAAGTGAGTGTGGTCCCCAGATGGCTTGTTGCTCAGCCAGCTTCCCAAACTGAGAGCCAGACCACTTGTTTTTCCCTTCTTATTTTCTCTATACTCTCCATTTTTGAGTCAAGGCACCTCCTGGCTCACTGCTCTTGGACAAGCTCTACTTTTTGACTTAGACCCTGGCATGAGCTCTCTCCCAAGGTCGTGACTCAGCCTTCCTCTTGGCCGCCACCTTCCCTTCCTTTGTTTCAGCTGGGCCTGAAATTTTCCTATGAACTATTTTCTTAGCTTCCTAGTCAGCTTCCTCTTTTTAAGTATTCATCCTGCTAAGAGATAAATTGTTGGGAAATTTGTAACTCTGTAAACAAAACAGAGTTAAAAACCATTCTATGTCATAAAAGAGATAGTGGGCCTGGACTCCACCCCAAGAGAAGTTGTCATGTGTCACCAGGAAAAATCATGAGTACCGTCCTCTTGAGAGGCTTGCTGTGGTGTTGAGAGCATTTTGCCAGAAGGAATGGTTGAAAGGTGACGCCATGGAGCCATTAAGATGATGATAATTAAGCTGTGTATAATTGCTGTGACTGGAAGATGCTGGATTGAAACAGGCTGTGTATTCAGTTGTATATAGACCCCTGCTGTCCAGCAATAGGGCGGCTCCTGCTGCCTTGGGTGCCTGCTACTTTTGACTGAGTTTTCCCGGAGTTCTTACGGAGCCGAAGAGAGCTGAGAGAGTTCCCGGGGGGTGCGTGTGGAGTGCCGGTGGAGTTTGGGCAATAAAGGAGTTCCTGGTTGAACCTACAAGTGCCTCGCGGTGGCTCGGTTATTTTGTGCCCAGCCAGACTGCGGCACTGTGGAGAATGTTGGGGTGCCAGAGGCGGCGAATGCTTTGTGTGACTCAGGGTGACCCCATACCAGAAATCCTGAAGGAAGCCTGCAGCAGGGCTCACCATTGTGTTGTGCAGCTGGGGGAACATTGGGAACTCAACTGAGAAATGGCAGGAATGGGTTCTGGAGATGGACCACTATCCTGACACCTGCAGGATGCACAGAGTCACACATTGGTCTTCCCTACACAAGGAACTCCTTGGTTCTCACATAGGAAGGCAGGAAAATAACCTATTAGCCGCCAAGAGGAAGGAGGTG